ATGTTTGTTGAAAGCAAAAATAAATCTATTTTAATAGAATTTTTGGTTGGATCTACGAAACTGTTTAATTAATTTAAAGATTTTTCTCTTAAAGATAAATTCTTTTAATAATAGAATTACACTTTCTACATTTAAAATTTAATATTAAAAAATTTCTAAAATTATTTTTCTAAAATATTAATTATATAGAATATAAGAATACTAACAATGTTCATAGTTTTCCCAGCTGCCTTCTTTAACCATCTTTACTTTGCCTACAAAAATTATTATTTAATAAATTCTAAAAAAATATTCCTAATTTTTTTCCAGTGTCCTATTGGCTGGCTTCGCTTTGGGCTTAGGTTTTAGTTTGGTTTCCCTTTCGAAGCCGCCTCGGGGTTTTGTTTTTCCTCGAGTAGTTCGGTTTCAATGTGTCGACTTTTATTTGGCTTCCTCAAATGTTCACTGCATTTGTTTAAACACTCTTTTGTGGCTGCCACTGCAGTGTTTTATTATTTTTTCTGTGGCACTGACTAATAGATATTTAAATTTTGGTACATTAACTGGTCTTTAGTTTTGGGACAAGCAGCCATTAATAACCGTCAGTTTGTGAGATTGTGGCATATGAATAATACGGAAAATCATTATCGAAAAAAAGGGGTTTAGAGGTATAGGTAATCTCCGTGAGTGGTTTGTAAATTTATTACGGTTTGTGGTTGCCAGGATAAGGTGAAAAATGAGCTTGACTTTTAAAGGATTTTATTCATTATACAAGATTCTAACATATTAATCTCATCCTTGTGAAATCAGACTTGAGCTGAGCTCAGCATTAAGACCCCTTAATATCCCACCCAACCCCTGCGCAAACAAAAAAATATATATTGTATATATAAAAAATCTGTTTCTGTTTCAGTTCCCATTCCCACGCAATTCAGTTTATTGTTTCGCAAGTGGAATTTTAAGGGGGCGAGTGGAAGTGGAGTAAGTAAACAAAAGCTCAGCGATCATCGACGCCTCAATGAAACGCTTGTTTTTTCCGCAATGAAATTAGTATTCAGTTACCATACGGACAGCAAGTAGGAAAAAAAATTAAAACAAAATAAATAAAAACACAGCCAGGGACAGGGACAGGGACCAGAGGCCGGATGCGGCTCTGAGCCAAAGGAGCCTTGGCTCCAACTGGTGGGATTTTGGTTCGGGGATCATCATCAGCAATCGCCAATCATCATCTCTGACCATATGCAAAATATGTTTATAAATAAAATGCACTTGGGGAAACGATGTGGTTATTAAATATATTAAGAAAATTAGTTAAAAACATTGAAAAGCTTAAAGAAATTTAAATATAAATTTCACTTAGCAAGAAAATATATTTATATGAAAATAATTGTATCTAGTTTTTTAACAAGCTTGAAATGTTTGTTTTATGCTTATAATTTAATCTATTTAAACTACAATAAATCCTAAAATATTATTTTAAACTAGCTTATAAAACCAATTATTTATTTTAATTTTTTAATTAGCATTAATGTCGTTTTTAGCTTAATAAATAAATACGTAATACATTAAGCATGGTTTAGTTAAACAAATAATATAGAAAACATTTACTATTTAAATGAAATGAATATTTAAATAGTAATATTGCTATTTTATATATTTAATAATATTTAAATTAAATTTTCACAGTGCATGCGAAACTCAAACTGTTCCGAATTCCAAGGCGAATTCATTAATGGGATGTCACCGGAGAGTGACATGGCAGGGCAGCCCTTTAATGGCAGCCCCAACTAGTAGATGTCCTCAGCCTGATATTGGAATGAAATCAGTTCGGGGCTAGAGATCTCAGATCGGTGGAGCTGTAGGGGTCTGAAGTGACGCGTATTGGATTTCAACATGCAATGCACGCGGCGCGGCATGCGGCTTGCATATCTGCAACGCCATCTCTGGGATACTTCAGGATCCCTTATCCCGATCCCGATCCCCACTACAAGTCCATATACATATATATTTATATATATGTATATATTATTGCTTCCCTTTTCAGTTCCCCAACAAGTTGCTCCAACCGCAAGTGCCGCCCGCCCGCTGATTGACATGTGATCCTCATCTTCATCGGTATCCTCAACAAAGTTTCTATGGCTTGCAAATCGCATCGCTGTGGGTTTTTTTTCTTCCTTTTTTTGAAATACACTTGCTAGGGGTCTTAAGGCTTTAATATGTATTATAAATTTAGTTTTAAATCTGAAATTTAAATAAAACTGAACTGAGTATACAATTTTCGTTAGCTTTTTTTCAATATTTTCCATTTAATCAATTATTTTATTTAATTTCTGCTAATTTTTATACAATTTCCTAACCAAAAAGAGCATCTAAATTCGTTATTCTTGAACCTCTCTAGTTCCCTTCTTGTTTTTAACCTGTTGCCTGGCTCTTCGACGGCTCTCCTGCTGCTCATTTGTCATTCAGGCGAAACACTCTTGGAGTCGTAAAGTAAGCTCCACTCCTGCTCTGCTCCAACTCCCGTCCAGCTCCTCTCCAGAGCCTCCTCCTCGGAAATAATCTGGAGACGGTCTCGTAGTCATAAAATTATGATCGGTATTTCTTGGCTGCGAAATTTGAACTGCACCGCGACGCCTTTACTTTTTTTGCCAGCATTTTTTAATTATTTTCGAGTTTAGTTTTTCGACATGGAACATGGATTTCTGTTGTATTTCATGCAACACCTTGTGTCGCTGAGAGATTTCCAGGAAAACTCACATCTTGGGACATTCCAGCGACTGTTCGCTGCGTTTCCAGGGAAACTTGCAAATGAACCCAAAGTAATTAAAGGCCGAAACAAAAAAAATGAATACAAGAAAAGCTTTTCCAGTTCATTCATGGTTCGTCTTACACACACACATTCACTTGAGTCAAAGCCAAAGGCAAATCCAATTCAAACGATAATCAGAGAGACGTGTCATTTTTCACAAACAACTCTCCGACTCATTTTCATTGAAAATTTCCACAATTTCCTCAATGGTTGTTCGATGTGTGCCCCATGTGTGAGTAATATGATCGTGAATTTCTCGATCGGCTAGAAGAAACCCTGCAACTGCCACATGAGAGTGGGAGTGGGAGAAAAGCCAAGGCGCCTCGAATGAGTGTTGTTTGAGTGTTATGAGTGTTTGTGATATGGTAAACCCAAATTAAGATAAGGCCCCAGATAAGCCAAGCTGCTGCGGAAAAACTCGTTAATAAGAATTTGGGTGACCATAGATAAGGTCTAGGGAAATAAAGAAGAGCGGGGAAAGTGAGGAAAGCGAGAAAAGCTTATCTTTTACATATTATTAGTATGACAAATTGGAAAGGCTACTGTTTCACGTTTATTTGCTTATGAAATTTTAAATAAATTTATGAAATTAAACTACAAAATTATAGAAATGTTTGATTACTATGTAAACTTTTTAAGAAAATTCGAACAAAAAATAATAGATACCTTTTTCCCAACTTTGACTTCCTAAGGTTTCACATATTATTTCGTAATTTTTCAAAATCTCTACAACAATTGCAATCTAATTAAACCATGAATAATTTATAATATTCCATTTGGTAATTAATCAAGCCCTCGTTTAAACGCTCACATTGTCTTTTCGTGTTGATTGCGAACCTCCTTTTTTCCCACAAAACACACTTTTCATTCATTTTCATGCTCATTCACAAAACATGAGAAAAAAAAAGAAAAAAAAATAGGAAAAACAAACATTATAATCAAGAGAGAGAATTGCCGGAGAGCGGGAGAGCCAAGTAGAGAGTGAAAAGGTTCGGGTTGACGAGCGAGAGAGCTGAGCAAGGCAGCCGACCAATCACAGAGCTATTTCCCCTTTGGCAAAAACCCGAGTGCATTGCATCTTGTAGAGATTGCTCTGATTTATTGGAGACTTTGCAGGAGAACAGTCCCCAAAGCCGGGTCTACAGAGGTGAGTTTTGTGTGTGGACTGTGGAGAGTTCAGGCAGGGGAAACTATTAAAACCTGGATCGTTTTTACGAACGAGAGGCTCACCTCTTCACTCTGTGGAGTGGATCTTGTTGAAAGTATGGTAAAAAGGAAATTGGATTTTATGCTGTCTACAAAGTTGGGAGTTGCAGGCTGAGGATTCTAAAATTGTGGATGGTGGGGAATGGATTGCTTGTGGATGATATCTTAAGTCGGGTTAAATATTGTGGATGGCGGGGAATGGATTGCCTGTGGATGATATCTTGGATCGTGTTAAAAAGATTAATTTATTAAACTTCGATTTTACTTTAAAAAAATGTATTGTAAAAATGTGAATAATTTTTTAGACGCTTAAAATAATACATTCATGTTAATTTATATTTGGACAATTATAAAAAATATACATTTTTAAACTGTTATTACTCTAAAATCCTATTGTAGACACTTATAGTCCCTTTTAAACTATGTTTGTACCTGTCATATTAAAATTAAATTGAGTTATATTTTCTTGCATTTCATCATAAGTTGAAATATTCATGAACTCCAAATTAAATTGGTCTGATTATTAAGAAAATTCAGAGCCTTTTTTGAAGACCCCTCGGGCTTCTCTACAAAATGTGGATCTCTTTCGAAGGAACTGCTGGTGGACACTCAGACATCTCCAAATCTCCCCTTTTAGGCTTTAGGATTATTGAAACGATGTGTTCTTATCACCTCTCCAGGGGGAAGAAACAAAACGAATAAATCTTTAAAAGAATCTTCTGTCGAGACCCTTGGCGAATCTTTACATTTCCCCGCCGAAATTCCGGTTTGCAGTCTCCAAGTGCATGGTGAATCCTCTCAATGCTATCTCTATCTCTCCCGGCTTCAGATACTCTCCATAGTATTTCTCCACAGCTGAGCCGCTCTCTCTCTCTCTCTCCCTGGCTTGCTTACCATATCTCTCTCGCACACTTCGGGTTTTCTTGCTCTCTCGGAGACTCCGCCTCTCGGGCACTCTTCGGGCGACTATAAAAGCAGGCGCTCTTCGTGAAGAGCACTCATTCGTGCGCTGAAAATTCAAAAGCAACTAAAAGAAAAGCGGAAAAGCAGTAATATATATAATATCGCAAGAATCGAAAAACACGCTGGATTAAAGTGTTCTAACTTCTTCAAAACCCAAAAGTGCTCACAGTGAAAAGTGATCAAAAAACCTAAAACAAAAGCAACTCGCAGAGATACCAAATATAAAAAAGATTTAATTTCTTTAACTAAAAACTAAAAACCTCGCAAGTAACCGGTACGACCGTGTAATAACCGCCAAGATTCTACTCAAGGAGCGTAAAGCAATCATCTCGAGAATGAAGTCGTTGACGGCCGTTTGCCAGACGACGACAGGTGCCTCCGGCATGCCGGCCTTGAGCGCCAACAGCGGGCGCATCACGCGCCACCCACCGCACCGCGGCGACGGCGAGAACGCCGAGATGAAGATGTATCTGTCCAAGCTGAAGGATCTCGTGCCGTTCATGCCCAAGAACCGCAAGCTCTCCAAGCTGGAGATCATCCAGCATGTCATCGACTACATCTGCGATCTGCAGACGGAACTGGAGACACATCCCGAAATGGGCAACTTTGATGCGGCGGCCGCTCTGACGGCGGTCAACGGTCTGCATGACGACGAGGACAGCGACATGGAGGATGCGGATGCGGATGCAGAGCCCATGCCCACCTCCGATGCGGATGTGCTAGCGCAGCGTCTAAGCGCCGAACAGCAGGCCAAAGTATCTAGTCCCGCCGCCCGTCTCCCACTCAGCGATCGCCAAACGCCCAACACGCTCGTCGTGGCGCCCGCTCATCAGCAACAACTGCAGCAGCAGCAGCAGCAATCACAGCAGCAACTGTCCAACAGTTTAGCAACGGTGAGTTAACAAAGCAAAATATAAACGAAAATATTAGGAAAAAAATATAAAGTTTTAAAAAATATAATAAATGAGAGAGAAAATAAGTGTTAAATATTAAAAGTATTTAGAATATTAGAGACGAAAAAACAAAAGAGAAAAGCTAAAAATCGTTTTAAATATTTAATCATAGATAAAAATGAGAGATATTAAACAAAATAAAACCTTTTTAAAAAGTTAATTGGTCTATTGGAGTTTTTACTTTTATTGTAAATATTTTCTTAAATTTCATGGCAATTTCAAAGTCATTTAAATATCATTTACTTTTCTCTACAAACTTAAAGATAGATTTCCACAACTAAAAAGAACATAGTTTTTGGTAAAATTTATAGAGAAAATAAAGATAAGAAAATATTTCAGAGTTATAAAAGGGCTTCCCTTTTTTTTCTGCCTGCTGACCATAGTTTAGTTTTTTTTCCCCCCTTATCGTATGCCATTATTTTGACCGCAGTTGTTTTTATTTTGGCATTTATTTGCAATGCAAATTGTCTTGAAGGAGACAACAATTGAGTGTCAAAGTTTTTTTCGGCTTTACTTTTATTGTTGTTCCCGAAGTGACCTCATTCATAAGGCAATTGACAAAATGCTTAGTGAGTGTGAGTAAGTGTGTGTGACGATTTAAAGGACGAATTTGTTACCGCTGAAAAATTTTCTTTACTTTCTGCGACAATAAATCTGTGACATTTCGCTTTTATAGAGGCATTTCACAGACTTTTCAGTACGTCCCCGTCTATAAGTCTATATGTCTGTGAATTGGGTGTCTCTGTCCGTCCGTCCGCCTGTCTGTCCGTTTGTCTGTCCGTTTGTATGTATTTGCGGTTGTTGTCGCCATCGGTTGGTTTCTTTCTTTTGTGTTTTCTGTGTTGCCTATACGTAGCTGTTAATTTTTTCTTCTCTCGCGGCCTTTTTCTGTTGTTGTTGTTGTTGTTGTGATGTGTTTTAAATGAACACCTGCAGATACTTAAATTTATTTCACATACATATACATACATACGTGCACACACATACGCACATTCGAGCTTGAAAAGCGGAATTTGAAATTGGGGAATCATCAGTCTCTCTCCTCTACATCTTGATATTTTTACGTATTTTTATTATTATTATTTTCGCCTTTTTTGGTTTTTGGGTTTTGGCTTACTTCATTAGCGCAGCTTCTTTTCTTCTTTTTTGATTTTTGTTGTTATTAATGATGGTGGCGAAAAAAAATCTGTTTAAAAGCCACGAAAACAGGTTGAGTGTCGGTCGAAAAAGGCTTTTTCAATGCTTTTTTTTCTCTCAACAAATGCTCAACTGGGTGGCCCCGCCGGCAAGTGTTATTAATATATTTTTTTACGGTCTTCTTTTATTGTTAATTTTGATTAATTGCAGGGGTTTGAGTTTGGTGAATGTATAGGTAATTTGCAAGTCCTTAAAAGTTAAATCATAACTTGGAATTTTAAAAATTGTTTTTCTTATGTACAAAGTATTGAAATTTTAGAATTTATTTAGCTAACGAAATATTTGGCTTGTGAACCTGTCCTTAAAAATCCTTTGTGATCTCTTTATATCTATTGTGTTCTCTTTCAACCTTTGGAGAGTTTTCGGCTCTCTTTCTCCAGCTGTGCGTAGTGGTGTTCCCTGGCGTTGTTTTTGTTGCAAAACATCTGCAACCTACACGCCCCATTTTTGTTGTTGTATGTTTGTGTGTTTGATGTGTCACCGCTGGGAGCAACACCAACAACAATCTCAGAATTCTTTCGAAAACACGCACACACACACTCACACAGAGGCAAACATGGGGGCACTCAGAAAACTGTAAAAAGAAATGCACGTGTTCAAAATGTTCTCTCTGTGGGCTGTTTCTGTTGTTTTTGCTGTTTCTTTTCCTCTTTTTTTTTCTTTACATTTTTTTTTGTATTTTCGCGCAGCTGTGCGCCAGTCGCCAGTCGGTCGTCGCTTTCTACATTGTATTCCCCCCTGCACGGATCTTGCCCTCTCCCCTAAGGCTCCAACCCAGCACCCCCTCGCAGTAAGAGAGAGAGAGAGCAGAAAGAGGAGAAGATGAGAGCACAGAATGAACACTTGAAGAAAAAATCAGGGAGAGGTCAATAGATTGGATTATACGAGATTTTATCACAATTTGAGGCATCAATTCTATTATTTTATTATTTATATACAAAATCAGTAAATATGTATAGTTAAATTAAGAAGATAATAGTTTAAAAAAGGTTTTAAATATGTTTTTAATTCCTAAATACACTCAATATTTTTTTCGAGTGTTCAAGAATTCAAAATACGTACAAAAAAATCCCAGTGACAGATCATTTGATTTTCTTGGCGCCTCTTTATAGCCTCCTTCCCCATTTCTCCGCTCTCCGCCACTGTCCCAAAAACAAAAATAAAAAACAGCAAATTAATTGATAACATAGAATGGCGAAATAAATATACACATAAATATAGCAAATAAACAAATTACTGTTGTATGCCAATAATAATCGCACAATAAATACTAATTTGGATTTTCCCTCTTCTCTCTCATTTTAGCCACTGAACGCAGCGGAGAAGGATAGCAGGCAGTCGTAAGGGGCTGCGGAAAACCTATGAAACCTATATAAACTTATTAACTAAATGCATAATTAAAGTACAGTCAACTCCACTCGCAACCTTCGTGTGAAGATCTCCGCATAAAATATAAAAAAACTCTCAAGAAGAACCACAACTACAAAGCCGGCGCCCAGCAACTCTCTTCAACTCTCTTTCTCAATTCGAGATTTAAATAAGGAAAAAGAGAGCTCGGCTCAAGCATTTCACACAAACACACACACACACCAACACACATTGAAAGAGTTTAGTTTAAACATTTAATAACACACAAACACACACACACCTAGCATTAGAGCATCGTAAGCAAGTAAACATTTAATTAATAATATTAAACATTAACTAGGATGGCGCTTAAGAATGAATGAAAGAACGGAAAGAAGGAGAAAACTTGGCAAAGCTTTAAACAATTTAATTTTTCCTTTTAACGCTTGAAATTAATCGAAGCATATATAATTTTGTTTTCCTAATTTTAGTTTTGTTTTGGTTTAAACAACGCAAAAAAAAATATATATGTTACTAATGCAAAGCAAAAACACAGAGATCAGCAATAAAGCAAAAATAAAATACAAAAAATAAAAGCAAGCAAAATGGGAATTATATATATTTAATTCGAATTTTGTATTATGATTTCTCTCTCTCCCAACGATTTTCCTATTAATTTTAAACAATCAAGATTTTTCCTATTATCGATTAGCCAGCAGCCAATAAATAACAAAAAATAAAAAACAAACAAAACAAGAACAACCAACTCAGCACACACATTCAAATTCATTAATTTATATCGAGTACGTTTTAGTGTTTAAGTTGAGAAAGTTAATTTCCAGGCACTAATTTTCACACACACAAACACAACCACAAATGCAAACCTCATTTTGTAGTTTTTCCGGATCGTTTTCCTCTCTTTTTTTAACGAATAATGCATAATAATAATTACCAGATATACACTAAAAAAAACCTATAAATATATATATAAATATATGTTCTGTGATCTGTAGCATACTTTGTACAAAGTGTTTTTTAGAGCATAATTATGCGATTTTTTAAATTATGATTTGATGAAGATCCGCTAAAGAAATCGAAAGCAAACAATTCTGATTAAAATTATATAATTTTTGTTCTCATTTCGATGGAAGAAAACTCTATCATGATGTAAAAAAGAAAAAGAAAACATTTGATGATGATGCGAAAAAATATATATCTAAAAAAAAATGGAAGAAAAAAACAACATACAAAACAAAAAATTAGCTCTTAATAAATTGCAAAAATTAAAAAATATTAAAAAATCAAATACAACTCGATTTTTACTGGGAGATGGTAAAAGGGAGTCAAAGGGGGAAGGAAACTCTCGGAAAACTCAAGAGTAACAAGCACAAGTACAACTAAAGCAAAACATAACATACCTGTGTTACCTTTAATTAAATTACTTAAAACCAAACCAAAGCGATTAGAAAACGTTCCAGAAACTCCTAGCAACTACCTGAAGACGAGTAGCAAATGAAGGAGAGAAAACTCGGCTTTGGGAAACCATATTTCCCATGCAAACAAGTGCAACGAATTACCAGAACAATGCGGTGGATGAAAATGCTCGTTTTCCATGGGCGAGCGAGTTTTCTCACGCGCAGCCGCCGCCGCCGCAGCCAGCAGCCTTTTGTCATTAGGGGTTTTCCCAGCCAAACAAACAAAACAGTTCAGGTAAAATCGCCCAAAGGGCCGCTCTCTTAACTACTGCACGTGTGCGAATTACAAACAGTACATAGACTTTTCCGTTGAGAAAAATTTCCAGCTATTTTTCCTTTTATTTCTTTTTTTTTTTGTTTTTCTCGGACGACAGTTGACCGCTTCTTGGGTGTGGATTTAGTTTTGGTTTTGCCCGCAGCTGCTTCCCGTTCCAACTCCTCCCACACCGCTTCGCCTCTCCTCCTCGCCTGTAGTTTTCCACGCTTTCCAGCTATCTGAGCAGGCTGCCTATTAGCGTTAATGATTGCAACTACAATGCAATGACCAATTGGCAATTGCGACTATAGTCTCTCGGCTCGGATCTCGGAGCAACCCGGTGCCAGGCCGCCCCATTCAAATGTCAATTCGGATCGGAGACCCCAGCGAAAAAAAACACACACAGGAAAATATATATACATTTTACATAGTCACAGAAAGCTTTTCCCCACAAATCTGAAATGCCCTATATAGTTTAAAGGAAAGTGTAAGGCTTACGAAATTATTTTAAATATTTTAAAGATTAAATTAAAAAGGGAAAAATCATTTAAAGGGATTAGTGTACTTAAAGTTACATCTGGGTTATGCTTGGAAAAAATCTTAAGTATAAACTATAACAGTTTCTTAAATAAAAATTATGGAAACAGCTTCGAAATACTTAAAAATCATACAGAAAAATATTAAAATTTGTATTACTTAAGCTTAAATACCTTTAACTTGTTAAAAACTCATGAAACTGTTCTTAGAAACTCCCAATATATCCTCACCTGCAAACTAATCATATTTCTATAATTTTCATATCTCAAAAATGCTTAAAAATTTTTTAATTATTAAACCACAGTCAGAGTAACTCTTATGACCCAGACTCCACCATTAATTAAGCAATTATTTAATCACAAAAAAACTCCCCATTCCATTTAGCATCAAACTGAATTACTATTTTCTCGTTAGGGTATAAACTGCAGCTAAAAAAAAGAAATAAAATCACCAGCAAATGAGGGGGAAAAACAAAAACAAAAAATAAAAAACCCCCCTAGTGTTCACATGCATTGTCGGGGGACAGTGCGTTTCATATATGTAACTTAGCCCCCTCTGGGTTCTGGGGGCCAATGATCTCTGATTCCGAGCAGCTCTCTTGGTATGCGCTAATTGTTTGAGGTTTTTTTTTGGGTTCGCGTAGAGCCTTTGGCCAGGTACAATTAGCGCGCTCACCTTAGTCTCGGTCTTGGGGGGTTTTCTCTCATGTAATGATTTTACGGGTATTTGTTGTTGTTGTTACTTTTGTTTTTTTGGGTGCGACAACGAGAAATCAGTGAAACTTGAATTACCATAAAAACTCGTGTAGCAGTCAACAGCTGCGGCAAACTGCGCGATTGCGAATGCCGTCGCCTCGGCTCAGCCTTCCCAATGGCCGTGCCGGAAAATTTTGACATAATAATTGTCAAGCTGACATTTCCAACCACGCAGCTGACAGCTGAGCCAGCCGGAGCTCCCGATCTCCCGGTCGCCGGTCGTCGATTGCCGTTCGCCCGAGTGTTAAACGGAGCCGGTATCGAGTGCGCTCCTCTCCCGGCTTTAACTCCCCAAGGGGATTAGTGGGTGGATTAGGCCAAGGATTAACATGGTTACTGGATATTGAGTGTATTTAGGAGCTGGGAAAAATAATAATGATATAAGGGGAACTCTTATACATATGTATATCGTATCTTACAATTATCTGGGTTTCTTGTTTTAGGTTTATAATTTTGTTTTTTATGTTTAAACATTATTTTCTTTCAGGTCAGGGTTAGTTCATTAGTAAAAGTACTTAAGTTTTGTTTTTTGTTTTTTCTTAATGATTTGTGTTGCTTACACTAACATTGTTTTTGAATTTCCAAGCACGTTCCGTCAATATTGACCAATTTGTGAGCTTTGTCAGTGATTGAGAGGCTTCAAAAGGTAAAGAGTTTAGGTAAATATCCCTACAAATAGTAAAGAACTTGAAGGAAAATATATTTTTTTATTTTTCAGATAATTTTTATGGATTTAATTACCATATTTATGACTTGAACTAATATAAAAGAAGTTAAAAATATATTAAAAAGTTTTAATTTAATAATTTTTTAAATTACGAAGAAATGCCTTACTGGTTATCAAATTATATATGTCCAGTAAATAAATTTAATAAATATAAATCAAAATAAACTTAATCAAAGGTATATAATTTTCTTTAAGCTTATTTAAAATACAAAGAAAAAGGTAAATGTCCACTTAACTTTAACTGCCTCTAACACAATCAATTAATAGTTATTACACATTAATTTAATTTTCCTTTAAACAAATCCCTGGTTTTATAGGGTTAAGCTGTCTTGGCTTAACTCCGCTGGCTGAGTAAAAAGTCACCGAAATGAAAGCTAAACCACAATCAAGCAGCGACGCTGCCGTCGACGACGACTTTGGCGAGGTGCGCATAAAAATCGCATTTAATTGTGATTTTCACACGAAATACAATGCGCATGAGCAACTGGCGCCGCTGGTTAAGCTCCAGGGGGGAGGGCAGGGGTGCGGTTTCCATAAAAAACGGAAGGGGGAGAGGGTTAATACTTGATGGCAATTTGTGTAACTAGCGGTAAAGCGTAACTACTAAGCAGGCGAGGTATATGCTCAGGTGCTCAGTGCTAGTGGTGGTGGCTTTTGGGAAACACCTGCAAAACGCCAAACGCAAAACGCACCTGTTTCGCTAACAAAAACTAAAACAAAGTCAGAGAAACACCTACAGACACCAACGCCGCAGTGAAATAAAAGCAACGCGGACACGGCTCAGCAACTTTCGTGGCACACACAGGTAGAGCAGGGGGGTTAAGCCACTGGGGGGGAAAAGGGGTTAAGGCTTGACTTTTGTGTAATTGAAGCAGCCATGTGTCTTTTTGGGGGGGATGGTGGGGGGGAAAAACTGGGTGAGAGTTCCCAATGCGAATTAGGAAATCGAAACCAAGTCGAAGTTGCAATTGAAGACGGCGAGGAAACTTAACTTACATATGTAAAAGCACAGACAAGGGCATTCATTTAGAGTTTTTTTTTAAATTAAATAATTAACGATATTTATGTCATTAAGGAGGTCTATTCAGGAATTAATAATACAGTTTTTATGAAGGAAAATGTCTTTGAAACTGAGGAAGTAAATCATATCTATTATGATCACAATTAGTTTATAGTTTCCTCTTTTGCTTAACAAACTTTACATTAAAATTATGATTACTTTAGCCAGGATATCCAAAGACTTTGCTTGTTTTTATACACCTAATATGATAGCCGGCTTTGTGATGTACCAGAGCTGGAGGGGATCGGGTCAGGTGCAGTCGAGTCGGAAGCTTAACTGGGAACCACCGCTTGCCATCAGCTGGCGGAAGTTGGCCAGAAAGCAGCAATGGTAATAGCAGCTGGCCAACGGGAGTGGAGTTTCAAGTAGGAGTTCGGCGTTGGAGCTAGAGCCCGACCAGGCCCGGCATTGATTTCAGCTGCGTCACCATCCATTGTGACTCTTGGGGTGGTGGTGGTGTTGCTGGTGTGACTGCAGTTCAGTGGCCGCCACATGTTGGCCTAATGACAGGCTCTGACTGCCAAGACTCAGCCTCAGTTTGCGGCAGCTTTTTGGCCAACAATGGCGATGACAATGGCCAAAAGTTGCCGTCGAGGTGCGGCTGCAACAGCAGTTGCAGTTGCAATATCTGCTGACATTTGATCGAAAGACTGGCGCTGCCGCAGAAGCCATCGGGTCACAGGCCCCGCCATCGATGACGAACGGCGGCGAGTGTCAAGCTGTAAATTAAATAGAATTATGCACACAATTCCTTATCGCCAATTGAATTGTTGTTATTTTGCCTCGAGGCTCTGACTAATGCGCCACCCGAGTTGCTGAGATTGATATAAAGGCGATGGAGGGAACACGAACTGCAGCCATACTAGAGACCACCAGGCCAGCAGCTGCAAGCTACTAGAAAATGTTATTGGTTTTTAATACGAATTGAGAAATACCCTTTAATATTGATTGGTATTTAAAAATTACACATATTTGTTTGTTAAATTAATTATAAAAACTTATCCATTATCAATTACATTTAATTATATTTTACAACTCATTAGACAAACTGTAAGAACTTTACATCTAGAGCTGTTTTAAAATATTTATAATTTCCAAACCCATTTGTTTCAGCTTTACTTCTTATCAAATAAGTTAAATATTTAAATATAAATATTATTTTAATATTTAAAGTGTTGGTAATACCCTTTTAAAAGCTCATAACAAGACTCCCAAAGCCGACATTGATAAATGCCATCCCACGCCTTGCCTGTGTTTTGGCCAGCAACAAAAACTTTAAAAATAAAAATAATAAAATGAGATAAATATATAAAAAATAAACACTGGCCA